TAATCTGTCTACTTGCGAAGGGGTGGAGTCTAGCCTCTCAATCAGGTCACAACCACTGAGGCCTCTGTGTGAGCATGGCCTTCTCCTGAGGATTCTGGGAACTTGTATCTTGCCCCCAGGAAGTGGAATGCACACACTCTATCTGCTTGGTCTCCCTGTGAGACATTCCTGTTGACAAGCCACATGCCTGATGGAACCAGAGCCCTGGAGCTGGAGGAGCCACATGAGGAGACCCATGCCAGCACTAAGATGCTTCCACTGCCACTGGATTCACAAGACTTTCCACCCACTGGCCTGCGATCTTCCTGTATTTGGCGTCATTACATGTGTTTTATGAGTACAAAGAGGAATTTATAGACTGGTATTGGACAAATGGGCTAATATCAGACTTATGGACTTGGTCTGGGCTGGGCTGGAATGTTTTCTCAATATACAATTGTTTGTATAAAGCTCTTTCTTATACATATGAGTGTCTATGAATTTGTTTCTCTTGTCAACCCAGACTAATACACTTCATAAAACCTATATAGGGTTGCTATACATCAGAATTAATTCAATGTCAGTCGGTTTGATTTTGTCAGTCAGGAACCTGTTCTCAGCAGTAGGAAGACACCTCTCTCACCAAGGTCTGAAAACATGAATAATCACATGGACTTTCACTTCACCTGGCATTAACGAGACAGAATTCTCTTTCCCAATTGTGCAGAAGAAATCTGCTAAAAACAGATGGTTTAAATAGAACTTAGGGTTATCTAACATGTCCTATGTACAATAAAAACAATTTCATTATGCCGAGATCTAAGGAATCTTGGTCTAAGGAAGACTAAGGCTGAATAAGAAAAGACAGCTAACAAAGGTCAATACCCAGATAACAGTGAAGTTAGAATTAGCTGAAAATAGATTTTAGTGCAGTCATCTCAGCTCCTAATAAGATGGGTTTTTTTGGGGTGGGGGGAATAAGGTAGAGACTAAAAAGATAAATTAAATTAAGCACGGATAAACCTCAAGCATACTTGAAACAAATGGGGAGGAGGGATAAAAAAGTCTCAGCCAAGAGATAGAAGTTATAAAGAAGAGCCCTATAAATAACCCAGAAAGGAGTTGCCTATTCTTACTTGCCATGCCTGGCTCTTCCAGTGCCACCACCATGAAGAAAGCTCAATCATGTGAACATTTCCCAGGCAGAGGCGCATTGGAAACAATTTTGTCTACAGAATGCTCAACATCACCCCCTACTGACTGGAGTAGTTTCAAGTACAACTTCCTTTAGCCCTCAGAAAGTCTGTTCATTTTTGTAGTAAGATGAGTTTTTCAAAGGTCTCCTAAGCTACTTTTGATGAGCCAGTGGACATTCAAAGGAGAGCTAAATCTGAAACCTGTACAAAAGCTTGTCTCACAGCACATGTGCTGTACTGTACAAACTACTTTTGTCAGGCCTTAACAGCTACCTCTATGAATTTTCAGGAATTTCTTTTCACAGGGGTTAATTGTTTTATATACACTGGCTTCTGCATATAAAACAACACTTACCATATATACTCGAGTATAAGCCAACCCGAAAATTAGCCAAGGCACCTAATTTTACCACAAAACTACATTAAAAAGGTGCTGAGAAACTCAGCTGATACACAAGTATATACGGTAGTACAAAGAAAGATCAATGGAAGAAGTCACCAACAGAATAGAGAACAAAAAGGAAAACATCAAGGAGCTGGAAGTAAGGATGATAGTAACTAACCAACCTGAATAGTAGCAATATAATAGATTTAAAAACTAAAATAACAGAAGCTCAAAGGCCCATATACCTATAACAAAGTAATATTCTTGTCATCAGGACCCTGGAAAATAAGAACAAGGCATGAAAGAAAGCAGTCAAAAGCTGAAACTTTTGCAAATTTAGTGGTAACATAAACTTACAGATTCAAGAAGCTGAGCAATCTCCTAACAGAATAAACCCACCCCAAGAAAATCATAAAACGTCTAAGAACTAGAAAAAATATTGAATGCAACTAGAAAGAAATAACACTTTGCCTACAGGAAATAAAAACAATTCAAATAGCAATCAATTTCTCTTCAGAAACCAAGAAAGCTGGAGAAGTAAAATTCTGAAAGAAAAAAAAAAAGTCACCTGTGACTTCCACATGCAGAGCAAATGTCCTTCAGGAATACAGGGGTGGTCACAGTATTTCCAGATGAAGGGAAATTAGAATTTGTTGCTAAAGGGAGTTCGAGACACAGGAAGGCAATGACAAAAGAAGAAAGCGTGTAACATTAAGTAGGGAGCACAATGGAAGCTGGCATGGGTGAACACAATGGACGTTCATGCTCTTGAGTGTATACATTGTTTGACAGTTGAGACACAAGGTAAAAGTGTCAGTGTAGATTTACAAGGATAACTACTTTTAAAAGAAACGCAAACTAAAATTTTAGGGTAATGGACTTTTTAGGCCATCCATTTCAATTCAGGAAAGAATCGCAGCCTTGAGGGAATGATTCACAATAATTCTTCTCTCTGCTATTGCTGTCATAAAGTGCCATCAAGTTGGCTCTGACTCACAGGGACTCCATGTACCACACAAAAAAGCACTGCCTGAACTTGAGTCATTCCCACACTCTTGGCTGTGTTTGAGCTTGTTGGTGCAGCCATTGCTTCCATCCAGAGCTTTGAAAGCCTTCCTCTTTCTCCCTGCCCCTCTACTTCACTCCGCCAAGGACTGGTCCGACCCACTAACACCTCCAAAGTACAGGAGACAAAGTTCCGTTCGCCTCGCTTCTAAGGAGCATTCTGCTGTACTTCTTCCAAAATAGAGCTTTAGCCCTTCTGGCTGTCCATAGCATATATAATATTCTTCACTAGTGAATGAGGGGGACTGCAGAATGGGGACCCAAACCCCATCTGTAGGCAACTGGACATCCTCTTACGAAGGGTCCTGGGGAGGAGAAGAGCCAGTCAGGCTGCAGGCTAGCAACGATGAAACATACAACTTTCCTCTAGTTCCTAAATGGTTCCTCCCACCCCACCCCCACTATCATGATCCCAATTGTACCTTACAAATCTGGCTAGACCAGACGATGTACACTGGTACAGATAGGAACTGGAAACACAGGGAATCCAGGGTGGATGATCCCTTCAGGACCAGAGGTGAGAGTGGCGATACCGGGAGGATGGAGGGAGGGTGGGGTGGAAAGGGGGAACCGATTACAAGGATCTACATGTGAACTCCTCCCTGGGGGACTGACAACAGAAAAGTGGGTGAAGTAAGGTGACCAGACGTCCCGCTTTTGGCGGTACAGTCCCGATTTTTAACAATGTTTCCCGCGTCGTTTTAAAAAGGTCCCGATTTTTGGAAAGAATGTACGACAAGCTAGGGTATACGGTTTTCAGCTGCCATGTGGCTATTTCGCCAGGATATGAGTTTTATCAATGGTGCCCCACTTTTGTCCCGCTTTACCAATGTTAAAATCTGGTCACCTTAGAAGGGAGACGTCGGACAGTGCAAGATATGACAAAATAATAATTTAATTATCAAGGGTTCATGAGGGAAGGGTGAGCGGGGATGGAGGGGGAGAAATGAGGACCTGATACCGGGGGCTTAAGTGGAGAGCAAATGTTTTGAGAATGATGAGGGTAATGAATGTACAAACGTGCTTTATAAAATTGATGTATGTATGGATTGTGATTAAAAAAAGAACTAGAAAAATATATAAATAAAATATGTATATAAAAATAATATAATTAAAAGGCATCAATTATTCTTCGATCTTCCTATTCATTCTTCAGGTTTCCCATACTTGTAAAGTAACTGACAAAATGTCCTCAAAGTGACTTAAATTTTTTTTTAAACACTTAGGGAGCTAATAGCAATGGGTACAAGAATAAAATATTCTGAAATTGATTGCACCAATCTTAATATGCTTGAACAATAAAATTGTTTCATATGTGAAGTAGATGCCAAAAAACTATTTCAAAAATAAATCGCTGCAGATTTGTACAGTGCAATATGTCATATCTGCGCTGCTGTTTCCATGGGTGTTGATTATGGATCCAAGTAAAATGCAAGCCTTCATAAGATCAGTTTTTTCTCTATCATGATGCATCTCACTCATCCAGTTGTGAAGATTTTTGTGTTCATTATGTTAAAGTGTAATTCATACTCAATGCTGTAGTTTTACCTTCATCAGTAAGTGCTTCAAGTCCTCTACAATTTCAGCAAGCAAGTTTGTGTCACCTGCATATTGTAAGTTGTTCATGGGTCTTGCTCCAATCCTGATGCCATGTCTTCTTCATATAATTCAGCTTCTTGGATTATTTGCTCAGCACATGACTGAATAATTATGGCAAAAAATTCAACCCTGACATACATCTTATATGTCTTTAAACCAAAGAGTATATCCTTGTTCTATTCAAAAGATTGCCACTTGGTACACAATTAAGTGTTGTGAAATTCCAATTCTTCTAAATATTATCCATAATTTGCTATAATCCATACAGTTAAATGTCTTTGCATGGTTAATAAACCACTGGTAAACATCTGAGGTGATGTGAAACTAAGACAAGTACATGTATTACTACTGAAAGAACTTGTCTGCAGCCAACCACTGATCACTGACATTTTTTAACTTTTAACATTTTTTTATGAAAAGATCATTTTATTGGGGTCTCTTACAGCTCTTAGAATAATCCATATATCAATTATATCAGGCATATTTGTACATATTTTGCCATTATTATTTTATAGACATTTACTATGCTTTCTATTGAGCCCTTGGGATCAGCTCTTTTTCCCTCCCCTCCACCACCCTGGTGATCCCTTTATAAATGATAAATTCTTATTGTTTTCATATCTTACACTGACTACTGTTTCCCTTTCCCCATTGTTTCTGTTGTTCATTTCCCTGAGGGTGGTGGTGGTGGTTACGTGTCCATCATTGTGATCGGTTCCCTCTTCCTTCCTCTCCCCACCTCCCCCCTACCCTCCTGTTATCATTACTGTCTTTACAAAAATATGGAACACTTCAGGAATTTGTGTGTCATCCTTGTGTGGGGGTCATGCTAACTCTGTATTGTTCCAATTTTAGTATATGTGCCGCCGAAGCAAGCACAACTTTTAACATTTTTATTGACATATAATTCAATGGCTTAAATGTATTGAAAGGGCTGTGCAATCATCATCGCAATCAATTTTAAAACAATTGTTTCATCTTTGTGCTCATTGTTATTAGCTCTCTATTTCCCACCAATCTCCCCTGTCATACACTCAAGAACCATTAATCCAGTTACTGTCTCCATAAATTTACTTATCTTGGACTTCATACACAGTAAAACAATAAAAAAAACCAAATAACAAAATAAAACAGACAAACCTCAATCAAAAAGAAATCAGAAAATATTAAAAGCTAGAACAAATTTGAAATGGGTCAAAAGGGAAGTTAAATGAGAAGATGTTAAATTTTAACCTAACTACATCTGCGCTATTTCACTTTCCAATGCACTCTGTCTGAAAGCAGGACTAATCACACCTTTGATGAATGGTCAGCAGGAATTCACTGGAGGCTTAATCCACAAGGGAACCATGCAAATGGATTTGGGGTTTTTATTATCATCCATAGCCTACTGCAAACAAGGTGCTCAGATTTTAAGTTGTAATAGAGTTCTCTGCCACAGGTCTTGGAATTTATTATTTTGCAATCCTGGGAACACACAGGCTGCATGCTTCATTCCTTGTGGATTTAGTTGATGCCTCAATTAGACAGCTGGTGTGTTTCCTCCATGTGGATTAAGCTGACATCTCACTTAGATGGCTGATTGTTTTAAGATAAGACTTTAAGATCCCAGACACTCTATTTTGTTACAGCCGGGAACCATCTGATTGCTTCACCATCCTTTGCAATAGCATGCACAACTTCAGCAATCTCTTAATGATGGCATGTATACAATAAGGCCACTAATTGTTCTTATAAAAGGCTTATGATTAAGCTTGAGCTCCTTATCTATCTATCTATCTATCTATCTATCTATCTATCTATCTATCTATCATCTATCTATCTATCTATCTATCTATCTATCTATCATGTCCCTGGTTCACTTTAAAGACATCATTATCATTTTTTTAGAACATTCTAAATAATCCCCATGGGGCAGTGTATAGAATTTTAAATACTGTTGAGAAAAGGAAAGTATACTTGTATAAGACAGCTTTTTAGACTAAAATACATGGATTGTTGACTTGTAAAAATTAAAAAAAATAATTTACTGGACACTATTTACAGAAAAATGAGGGTTGGAAATAGGACAAAACTTTCAATAATTCTCATTCACTAAGACAGAACTATATCTGCTGGACTAAGACATGTCACAAAAAAGCAAAGGTTGTGTGAATATAGGAAATAAACAATAGCCTTAAACTGCCATTTATTAGGTACCCTCAATGTTAGATATGTGAACCAAAGTTCAATTAATTCAAAATACACAATCTTGGGAAAATGGTCTTCTGCTCCTTCTCAAATTAGGACCTTTCAGCCTTAGCCCAAGGGAGTATTTCCATTCCTGGAATCTGCTACAGGTGTGTTTAAGTTAAAGACAGCTTCACTTACTGGGGCTTCAAAATCTGATCCTTCTGGTGTTTCCTATGATGGATGTTGTGCACCTCTAAATGAGGAAGTCTAAAGGTCTAGTGGTCTATCACATGTAGCCTGGATCAAGAAGAGCTGGATAGAACCTCTGTCAAAAAGTGCTTTCTTACTCTTGACAATGTGGCTGCAACAATAGGCTCTACTATGAGAACAATCATGGAGATGTCACAGGATGGCCGTGGTGCCTCATTCTGCTGTATATAGGGTAGCTATGAGTGAGAACAAACTCAGCAGTACCTAATAGCAGGAACAGAACCCATCATCCATTTAGATGTTACATCTGGTCCACTTTATACAGAGAGTGTTCTCCCAATGGTGGTCTATTATCAGTAATGTTAAGTGTTTTTCCCAGTGACAGGTTGCCTCTTCCTGGTTTACCTGCCAACAGAAGTGAAATCACCTTATTTGAGATAAACTTACCACTCCCTACCCTGCTCCACCTCTGGACATGTATTTTCAATAAGGTTCCTCAGCGTCCTTGTAGCAGTGCCTATTGATTTGGGGTGACCATGAAACAATGCTCTATGGCAGAAACTGTTTGCCTTCTGCTTCTCCCCACAAGGTTAGAAACTGACCCTACCTGACAAAGTGATTTTTTTTTGGACAAAGTGATTTTTAAGATGTACAAATAAAGGGATGCCAGGTAGATCATTAGCATTATAAAGACATATTTAATCACATTTTCTTTGGACTAACAGATGCACATATGAACTGGAAGTCTAGTAGAAATGATTTTTGGTTATACTCATTTGTGGGATCAAATTGACAACATTAAGTAGAAAGATTGAATAACAAACTTAGGAAACAGTGAGTTTATGATAATGGGGGAAGAAATACTCAGAAGAGAAGGATGAGGAAACTCAATGAATTTAAGCAATGCCACTGAACTGTTCATAGAAAAACTGTCCCATTGTCGGATGTCCTGTTTTTTTATATTCTCAACAACAACAACAAATTAAATTTTACTTAGCTAAGCAAAGAGCATGGTCTCCTGTCAGGTAGACTTGCATAAGAATCCTGGCTTTGTTACTTGTTAGCTAGAGACCTTTGAAAATTATTTAAATTCTACGTGTTTATTTTTTTTAATCCCTCCACTTGTAAAATATAAATACCAACTTTGCCTTCCTGTAGGGCTATTGTGAGCATTATATACATATTGTTCAGCCTAGCCCTTGGCACATAGTAAGTGCTCTGTGACTGTTACTATTTGAAGCATTTTAAATCGTGTATGAGTCAATCAATGTCAACACAGACTTCCATTTAGATCCCAGGACAATTGAATTGGGAGGGGAATGAATTCAAATTATACAGCAGTAAGGTAAATGCAAGAAAGGGAAGTCTGATTTAAATGGAAAGTAGGAAATCTAAGCTCTCCTTTGCCCCATGCGGTGGTACAGGCTGAAAACAGATTTTTTTTAAATGTTGCAAGGATGATAGAATCATCATGGCTATCTGTGATAAACAGGATCTTGTATAGCTGTTACTTACCTTTATGGCTAATGTGAAAGAAAACAAAGTTATTGTCCCACAAATGCTCTCTAATGTGAGAGAATTGCTCGAGAAGTTTCCTTTGAATGATATGATACAGCAGGGTCAGTTCTCAAAGTGAAATGGTTAACTACTCTCTATATTAATCACACTCTTATTTCCCTCTTGATTTCCCATGATGACAGCATATAATAGTCACCAGACATCTTTGTATCCTCTTTGGCATTGTACAACCACTATAAACATCATTAAACTATTGTTCAAAAAGACTCAATAGCTTTAAATGAAGGGCTACAGAAGAATGAAGCCTTTTGATAAAAACCCTTTGGGGAATTTTGACTAAACAAGCAAAAACCTAGCCAGTCATACATTGGAAACATAATATATACATATTTCTAGATGTGTCAGGGGATTTTTTGCAACTCATTAGAAACACAAGTGAAATGTGAAAATCCTGGAGACCCTTCTTTGTTCTCTACTGCCCTTATAAACTGCTTCCTAAAACACTAGGTGCCACTCATGGCTATGTAGATGCCAGTTGCTAACATGACTTTACTGTACTGACTGGGATACGAGGGCTCATTAGGTCATTTGGGGTAATCAGGAGGGACATGGCTGTTTTCCTCCTCAATTCTCCTTGGTCAAGAAACTCTTGCCTCAGAGATACAAGGTTTCAAATCTAAGCACTGACATTGACTCCAGGATAATTTAGAGACATCAATTAATTGTGCTGAGCCTTCATTTTATCACCTTGAAATTGGATTTGTACCAACTCATACTGTTGGGTAAGCATTCACTGCCAGAAATGGATATTCCATTATTAAAGTAACATGGAAATTACCATCAATGAATTAAAACAGCACAGTGCTGGACATAAAGTAGGCATTCACCAACTATTAGTTCCCTTTTTCTGGTTATTCATAAAGGCACATTTTAGGCACAAAGGAATAAATCTTCCATGGATAAGGAAGACTGAAATTCCACATGGTCCTCTCTACTGGGTTACTAGAAGTAGGTTAGGCTAGCGTAATAGAGTCACACTTGGCTTATTACTTGAGTGACTACATAAAGGAGCCATGTAGTCAATACTAGAAATTCATGAGCATAAATCAGATAAAAAGGAACCAAAGAATCGAAACCAATCACAGGAATGGTACCCATGATTTAGAGCATAAAATGCTGACAGGGATAGTAGAGGAGATTGAAAAATATTGCATATATCATGGACTTTCAGGGAAACAAACATTCTATCTTGGAGGAAGTACAATCGGAATGTTTCTGAGATTGAACAGACATTAATATGGTGAGACTTTGTTTCATGGACTTTGAAGACGCTATCAGGAGGGACCAGTCCCTGGAAAAATATATCTTGTTTGGAAAAGTAAAGAGTCAATGTAAATGAAGAAGAGCCTCAATGAGATGGATTGGTACAGTGACTATAAGAAGGAGCTCACGTACACCAATGATCATTGAGGATGGCACTGCACCGGGCTGTGTGTTCCTCTGCTGTACACGGGTCACTATCAATTGAAGCCAAGTCCACAGCACCTAGCAACAACAGCATAGTAGACATCAGTGACAGGGGAGAATGGCCTGGGGAACAAGACACATGAACCAAGATCGTCCTATTGATTCTGCTAAATGGTCTTCCTCACTTGTGGGGCTTTTGTTTGGAACTTGTGAGCAATGACTTTTGCCCCAGGGTGACTTTGAAGGTCCATGACATTACATTCACTTCAAAGTTTTCCTGTTCTCTTGACCAAGTGAGGTCTAGAGTTTTATAGGAAGGCAGTAAAATATAGACACCAATATAGGGAGCTGTTAAGATATGGGACAGATTCCAGAGTCTCCCCAAGGGCATAAAGTGTTGGGTTTGCCAAGGTTCTGGTAGACATTCTTTATAACCTAGATATTCTCTTTTGCTTTAGAGATGACGATTGTCACAGGCGAAATAGTGCAGTCTGGGGAAAAGCATCTCTGAAAGCCCAGCAAAATAGATTTGTTTTACCATCGTGCTGTCAAGTTCCTGGGGAAACTGGATTGAATGGTGGTGGTAGGAGCAAGGCCAAGCACACACACTTCCTTTTGAAAACGTGCTTTACAGAGGCTTTTATCTACAGTTAAGTGTTATTTCTTCATCCACAGGAGTATATTCTGAATGCCAGATTGAATTATGTAGTGTCAAAAGCGATTGCTGATGACAGGTACCAGGGTTCTGGATGTGATTGGTGGTACGTGCATGAAACGAAAATCACAGACATTTGGGAATTTAAAGCAGGATGGCTGTTGGGGCAAGGCTCCCAGGAAGACCAATCTTCAGTGGATTCTCATTTTTCCCATTGTGCTAAGAGATGATCAACGTCAGGAGGATTGACTATATTAAAATTTACAAGAAACTGATGTATAAAGCAAACACGGAATTTATTAATTTATAACAAGAATTACCTGACAAGTAGCTTAGAAACACTCATTTCAGCAGATTAGCACATAACAAAGTTTCACAAGGAACACAAGTTACAATCCGACTATTTGCAGAGAATGGTTTCAGAGCAGAGGTGATAGGTGATCACCTTGATAACTAATGACAGGAATTGGCATAGTCTAGCACTTTCATCCTATTGAGAAGATGGATATTCCAAATGGTCTGCTGGTCAACATTTTTGGTTTATTCACTAGGCTGCTAACCACAATGTCAGCAGTTTGAAATCAGCTACTCCTCAGGAGAAAGATGAGGCTTTCTCCTCCCATGAAGATTGCCAATTTCAGAAACCCACTGGGGCAGTTCTACCCTGTCCTATAGGGTCGCTGTGTGTTAAAAATGATTTGATGGCAGTGAGTTTGGTTTTTGGTTTATGGCTTTTAATTTGCCCCCTATTATAGACTCTATGGGATCCATTCCCTTGTTAACAATCCCTCCTTTAGAGTCATCATAAAATGATTAGATTCTTCCTTGTTGAGTGATATCAATTATGCAGTAGTTCTCCTTCCTTACAACTAAACCCTTGATTGGACTTGGGGCTTATCAAAGGTTTTGCAATTGCAAACCACATCCTTGAGTGGATGACATCCCCTTTGTTCTCGGTGGCTACTCATTAGCTTCTCTCAGAGAAATTCCCTTAGCTCTGGGTTTTGAGGATAGACCTTTGAAATTCTCTTTGTGCTAAGTAATGATTTCATTCTCGATGTCGTGTAGGGGTTTTGAAGGAAGCAGTACACAAAATGGTTGTTAACCAGAAGGGAACAAAGCATTAACCCAGCATCCTCTTCATGTGCTTAGCTGTTGGGTTGTATCACATTGAACACAAGAGGTCCAACAAAGGGCCTCCACCAATCGGAGGTGAACTGAAGTTCAGGGTCTGGGATGACCTATTCTAGGAAGCTGTGACATTTGAAGATCTCTTGGCAGGCAAAGGTAATGTTGTGTGGCCCTCAGACAATAGATGATTAGCGATAAAGCCAACAGAGTGTTCCTGTTGCCATTCCAGGACTATAAGGGAATGGTAAGGAAGGTGACTGAGGGCCATCAGGTTAGGCTTTTAAAAATATATAGAGAGAATCGGTGATGAAGCTCAGAGACACTCCAATAGATCTACTTGGTGGAGGATGTCGTACAATCCAAGTACCCAAATGAGGTGTACTTGCCACCAGGAAAATATGCAACTTTGCTCTTCTGTTGTGGGAGTATATGCAGTCAGGGGGATGTCTGCCAGCATGTTGGATATGGAGAGCCTTTGCAAATGCAAATAAGTGCTAGCACAGTGGTCAGTGAGGCACCGCTGGACGAAAAGTTCTGTTAGTGCTACAGGGCAAGGGAAGTACGTTTCTAGCTTTTTTAAAATAGTTTTAGTGTTAGCTCATTTTTCCAGGAACAAAGGCAAAGTACAATGGCACTTCATATACTAAAAGGCCTTCATGGCTGCTGGGGACTATGTAATGACTGATTATCCTTGAGAATATCCATGATAGGGGCATACATCAACACCAAGAAGTCAGGAACAAGGGCTGATAATAATTAGCAAACACAGATGATCACTGAATGTCCTTAACATTTTAGGGATCTGTTTCTTTCTAAAACAGTACTGCTTTTGTTCAGAAGCATCAGAAATTCATACAGAGTTTTTGTGTGCCAACAATGCAGCAGTAGCAATCAAGCCCCAATTTCTTGTATTTGGGGCACAGACCATATTAATGTATGTGTCCCGGGATGTTTCCAGATGAGATGGCCAAGAAAAATTTTGACTATTCATTATTTCTCAAGAGCATGAGCTAAATGAGTATGCCCCAAAAGTAGAGCTCAACAATGAGTAATGATCTTATATGGTGACCACCATGAGTTCTCCATGGCCAGGTTCCTTGTAAAAGGCAGCAAGGGTATATGAGGGTGCTTCAGGTGTGTGAAAAAGTTCTATACGTTTAACTTATTTTTCCCATGAAGTTATTGAAGTCCCCTTGTGTTATAGAAACAGTAATTATAATAGGAAAACCTGTCCATTTCTCAGTAAATACCTGTAAGAAGTCACTATTCTAAGCCACCTTGATTGGCCAAAAGACGTACCAGGTCTTCACGTAGCATTGTTGGCTGAGAGGGGAATGAGCTGCGATTGGTAGAGATTGACCAAAGAATGTCCTTGCTTAAAGGGATACATTTTCAGAAAGTAGACCAGCAGTTCCAAACAGTGTTAAAAGGGTCATAGTAAATCCATGTCCATTTTTTTTTACTACCCAAGAGGTTCAATTTGTTGAGCAAAGTCCAGCTAGCAGTAAAACACATAGCGGTGGGAGAAGGGTGGCAGACCTGTGGTTTGAGGAAGGCTGGTTTGGGTCGAAGGTAAGCCTTAGGCAATAGATAGGACTACAAGCAGGAGCTCATCCCAGGTCGTTCATATTCAATCCTCTGCTGAGAATTTTCATTTCCATCCCAAATATACAGAATTAGAATATACAATTTAACAAGACCTTTATACATAAGAATCACCTGGGAAACTATAAGAATCACTTGGGGTTCATGTAAAATATCAATTCTCATTCAATTTTCTAGAGTGAAAATGCAGACTCTCAGCAGGGAGTCAAGCTGGAATGAACTGGTTCCAAGCCTTGATTATAAGGAGCAGGATCCAGCTCTTAGGAGAAAAGTATCGACAGAATATAGGCGGGGGATTAGAACTGCAACCGAAAGGTCTAAATTAATGACAGAGAACTAAGATATGGACCAATGAGGGTTAGGGCCAAAGGCTTGTGCTCAACACTAGGCACAGAAGATACAAGACTTGGGCCAATAAATTCAACCCAAATTCCACCCATGGGTGAAGATACGATTCCTAATACATTTAGAGACTTGTTTGCATTAGCTCAGACTAGGCAGAGTTTTGCCTGTATGCTTTCACTACTCTTGGGGGATTTGTAGGTCATGCCTGTCAATTGTTTTGTTTTCAGCATTTTGTATGCTTGGGATTGGATAAGATCTAGTTGTTTAAGTTCTCAGAAGCAATTTCATCCATGGTTCTGTGAAGTGGTACCACAGCATTCTAAAAAATAGTGCAGAATAGAGATCTCTAAGGCTGGAGGTGAGGGAGAAATAAGTTTGAAAAAGAATCTTCCTGGTCTCCTTTTATTGGTGAGTTGGTTTGCTCGTTCTTGCTGGGGCTCGAGAACGTTTGGCAAGGCAGTCTTTTGTGAAGTGATTAGGCTGGCTACAGTAGAGGCACCATTTGGTTTCTTGTTGGCGGGCTCTCTTGGCTGGTGTGAGGGGAAACTGGCCTCCCCGCAACTGTATAGGCTCTTTCTTGGCTGGTGGACCTGTGAGAGTGGAGATATATGGGTGAAGCGAGGAATCCAGGCTTGGAATCTGAGCCCCCGATTGTAAGAGCTCTGGTCTGTCGCTACGTTTCCTCTCCAATTGCATGCACTGAGTGATAAGGTCTGGGAGATTTTCCATAATCTCTATACCACTCACTTCATCCTGCATGGGGTCAGCGAGTCCCTCTTGGAGCGGGTCACTCAGAATGGTGTCACTACAGTTCATATTTTGAGCAAGAAGCTGTTGAAAGGAGTCATCCTCTTTGTCGATTTCAGCATTCAGCAGAGGGTTCATTTCCTGTTCTGTGCGCTCACCAAATGCCCCCTGGAACTCAAAAACCAAGCTTTCATATTGTTTCAGTAAAATACTTTGGTCAGACCCAGGTAGGACCCCACATTTCTTGGCCTGCTGAGAAATATAGTCAATAAAGCACTTGATTTGGGTGTTTTCTGCAGGATTGGAGGGCTTGAGAGCTGTCAAGTAGGTAGTCACCTGAGCAAGAAGCTCTGAGGGATTGTCAGGGTCCACATGAAACTGATTGAGATGTTCAAATAAGCAGGGAGCAGGCACCATTGTCGTAGCCAGAGCAGGGATGACCGGACCCTTCAGAGCAATATTTTCTTCAGTCAGGGTCTGCCCTTGTGACTCTGGAATCTGATTCTCTGTCAAAAGGGATGAATGTTCTACTTGCAAGGTTGGTGGTGATGCTGGGAGCTTCTCCATGATATCTCCTGAAAGCAGGTGTGTCTCAGCAAAAGTTAGTACAAATAGTGGTGATGAGGCAGCCAGGAATTTTATTCTGCAATTAGAAAAACAGTGTCATGAGCAAAGAGCAAAAACTGGTGGATATCAACAAGTCCTCAGGGGATGCTGAGAGCTGAGTTGGAGAACTGTCAAAAGTTGTCAATTACTCAATGTTGCCTCTTCTTCATAGATACTGCCGATGTTCTGCACCTTCAGCAAAATAAAAGACTTTAGAACACAGAAAGATTTTGGAATTAAGAAATTAAATAAAAGAATCATGATAGATTTATCTCCCTCCCCTGCTGTATGATAAAAGAGAACTTTGTCCTCAGAATGTATCTTTATTTCTAATGTAGAGATTTGCAGCAGATAATCCAATCATTTCATAGTACAGAGTGGCTTAGAGATCATCTATGTAAAACTCCTAATGACACAGACGAGAAATTAAGGATCTGGAAAGGTCAAGATGCTTGTCCAAGTCATGCAGCTAGTTAATATTAGAGATAACAAGCTCACCCAGGGCTTCTGTATAAAACAGCGTGTCCCTCAGGACCACAAATGTAATCATTTGCATATGCTGCTTGGGCGTGATAGTTGTCCATACCCTTTGCTGATAAAAATGTGATTGGTGATTGGCCTCACCAGGGAGGTTGTTAGAAATATAGACTTTCAGGCCCCATGGCAGATTTACTTAATCAGAATCTGCATTTTAACAAGATTCCCTAAGAGATTCATGCGTCCTCTAAAGTTTAAGGACCAAACTCCAGAGAACATTTAGTCTAAATTTGAATAATCACTGTTTGGGCTTGCCCCTAAATTCCCTAAGACTAACCTTGCATGGCTGAGATCAGATTTCTGCGGTGGTGGCTATTCGACTTTTCCTGGCTGCCTAATCCCTGTCTGAGGTCATATTGGGTTACCATGGATATGATCAAGACATCACTGGAAGAGGAAACATCAAAGTTGAGAATCTAGCACACAAGAATGGAATAATCTTCAAAGTATGAAGATCCAAATGTTCAGCAGTCCTCCCTACACTGATAACAAGAATAAAGCAACCAGTAAAAGTTAAAAGCAAACCCCAAACATATGGCAAATCAGTTGAATTATTCGGGAGTGCAATTCCTCTCTTTGCCCTTTCCTTGTGTAGCATGCTATTTAAATTTATTTAAATGGGCCCCTGGAGCGCAAAACAAAATATGTATCATCGGATTTTTGTAATGTAAGCTTTGATTCTGTAGATTTTATCTAATGGCTCAACCTCTCTAGATGTGTGGAAGAAATTATTGGAAGAAAAAAAGTGTAAGATTGGAGGCCAAAGAGCTTATCCAAATATTTGTGTTCTGCAGTTGGATGACCTTAAATAACTCATTTATGTCTCCATTTTTTTTTCATTTGTTCAAAAGGTTTGATTGTCTTTTTTAACTCACAAGTTTCTTTTATTATTGAGATTAGAACTAGGTACTCTGCAGGGGGGAAGAAAGAGGTAGTTGCTTCCAAAATCTCTCCAGTGCATCTGAATACCAATAGTGAGAATGTACCCTTACTTCGCATTACTGAATTAGGGAGATACTATCATCCCTGCTTTCTTTCCTTTTGTCTGTAGCTACTCCTTCCAGTCTCCTGATCTTTCTTCTAGATATCTTCCACTCCCCAGGTGTATATCCATGAGTTCAACTCTGCCAATTAAGCTAGTATCAAATGATACCTAAAAGAAACCACTGCGCAAGTCTGGCTAGACCAGAGGAGGTACACTGGTACAGATAGGAACTGAAAATACAGGGAATCCAGGACGGATGAGCCCTATAGAACCAGTGGTG